ACCCATGTTTGAATTGAAAACGAAGACCACAAAAGTTCTTCCCTCTTGATTCAGATAGATTCATTACGAAAGAGGTTGATGAAGAGTGGTTCTTTTATAAATAACTTATAAAAACAAATTGTGGATGAATGAATGACTAAACTATCTTCTTGTTTAATAAACCTTTTTAAAACAATTTAAATCAAGTTGTCCTACCTAAAAATGTAAAACAAGGACATGCTATTGATTTTTTTTAAATGTCCTTGGTATGAATCCCACATGCTTACCTACTGTAAAAAAAGATGTCTTTATTCTCGCCACAACAAACATATGAATTACGATTTTGTAGAACTAACAAAATAGCATACACAAATAATCTCGTTTGCTTGGTGACAAAAATCTAGATTTATTCACCACCTAAACAACAATGAATGACGCAAAATTTGGGACCACTTTTGGAACCAAATACTCTATAAATAGGCAAAAAAGAGAATAATAACAATTAAGAACAAAGAAAAAAGAGCTTATATTTGCAAGGCAGCTGCTATGGAACTAGCAAGACTCAAGACTTCAAATGGAGGTTTGTTCTTCACTTCCTTCACCGTCAAAGGACACGAGTCCGTAATCCAAAAGTATGTCAATCCGCTATCCGGACGCCCTGACAAATTCATGAACCATATCACCTAATCTCCAAAGTTTCTAATGAGGGCATTTTTGTCTTTTTCCACATACGAGAGATCAAGAGTGAGTCAACAATACTCTCCTACCTTGCAACATCTTTTTTGTGGGACCAAAGGAGTAGGTGGCAATTATTATACTACTCATATCAGTCCCAATCCAATGCATGTCAAACACAGTGCAACCTGTTCTGTTCTGTTCTGTTCAGTCCAGTTCAGTCATGTGTTGTGGAAGTAAAAGAAGAAAATGTGTACCTCCAGTATCATGTTTGAAACGTTCCCAAGACCTTTTGGGAAAAACACCATGTGTCACGTACGCACTAACTTTTTTTGCTCCATGTTCTGCCAATACTTTCTACAAAAAAATTAAAAAAAAAAAATTACAAAATCATTATAAGCCATGAATAGTTTGAATTATTGAAAGAATTTGTGAGTGCTGACCTGGCATTCAATCAGAGTTCCACCCGACTGAACAAGATCATCAACTATGACTACATGGCGTCCTTTTGGATCTCCCTCTTTAATGCGTACAATTCTTTGGTCACCTTCTCTAACTTTTGCACAAATAATCTTACCACATACAACAATACCAACCAACAATGAAAAAAGAAACAAAACAAATTCAAAATTAAAAAAAAAAAGTAATTATTTCCATACCACAGGGAAATGCTGCAACTGCTTGTGAAACCGTTTCCAAGCACCATCATCTGGAAAAGCAATTGATATCTTTTTTTTTTTCACAAAAAAAAAAAAAAAAAATTGTAATTTCAAATAACATCAAGCTTCAATCAATATAACAGATTGTTTGCCAAGAAAAGAGCATTACATTTTCAGAATCAGGGAGCTGTTGGAGCCTACTTTTAAGCAAAGGAATCCCACTCTCAAAACATGGTAACACATTATCATCAAAGTAGAATCTTTCCTGCAAAAATCCATGAATAGGAAAAAGATATGAATACTTATATCCAAACTAGTTGACATAGGCAAGAAATAAAACCAAAGATAACAACTAACAAGATCAAATTTTTGAAGAATGGAATTGGAACCAACCTGCAGGGCATGAATATCATAGATTACCACACTAGTGGGGCCTCCTCTTGATATTGGAATGTTTGACAAGAATCTAGCAAGAGTGAAAGCTGTTGCAATATCCCCTTCATCCTCCATTCGTTCAGAAGTGCCAGTAGGGAAGAAAGGAAGGACTAAAGTGAAGGAAGAAGTGAACAATTTTGGCAATGCATAGCTAACTGAAAGTTGCTCAAAGATAACTCCAGGAGAACTAAATGATGCAAGAAAAGCTACATGCTCTCCTCGGATTCCATGGGCATTAGGTATTGATAAGTTTGGAAATCCATCTTCAAATTTTCTGTCATTCAATGTTTATGCAATATGATTATCTAAGTCGCAATAAATAGTTTCTAGTGCTTTATCTAGGTCGAGTAATCGGGTTTGATACTAGCAACAACAAAAATTGATCATCAAATGGTGTAACAGAATGTTGTATATACTTAATTTTACATGTTACTTCTTTAAGTAAACCCTAATCTGCATTGGAGACAATCGGATCGAAGAAGTTAATGGCATACCTCCAACTGATACTACGAAGCTCAATTGCATCGGATTGGGCAGCAATCCTCTGTGCAAGCGCCTCCATTTCAGCGGCATAAAAGAGGCAAACCTTTTTAGAGTTTTTCAATCCGGAATTCATCGGCATCGGAGATGCTTTAGAGGAAGGAGGCTTGATAATAATGTGAATCGGATCACTTCCAGTGACGCAATCGACAGTCCACTGTTGTTGTTGGGGTTGGAGGTGATGCGCCCCGTTATCGAAGCTGCCGTGTTCACACTGAATGTGAACCCTCCTGCGGCTGAGAGATCGGCGACGGTGTAAAGAGGAGTGAAATAATGCAGCCGTGGTGGTGGTGATTGTTCTAATTAGGGGTTTGTTTGGGTGTGGCAGCGACGGAGGCGGTGGCGACGGAGAGGCTGCCATGTGGCGGAGGACTGGGCGGTGATACGACGGTTTTCCGAGTTTTCTGATTGTTTTTTTCTTATCTTGACGCGAATTTTCCGGTTATTGAAGCTCCTCAGCCTGGTAACGACGATATCTTTTAATATTATTATTATTTTATAACTTTATAACTTTATCGTATATATAAATTGTACATTATGCATCAAGATATGTAACTTTCTCTAAATTTGCCTCTTCGAACTCTTGATAAGTCCCTACTTTTATGAATTTTCACATCTAAAATGTAATTCAACTTTAAAGAGAGATTTGCATGTTTTTGTAATGTTTAAACTTTCAGCATTATTCCTGAATTCTACTTGAGAAAGGATATGGACTCGGACGGATGTATGTGGAGCCTAGGGTCCGAGGCCACCAATCCGATTCGGTCTATAAGTGTATTTATTTTTTATTAGATGTAACCTTTTGAATACCATTGTCATTACTATTTTACATTTGTTCAAAAAAAAATTAGTGGAACCATTATTGAAGTGGTCTGTGTCCACCACTAGATGTGGATGAATGGAAGGAAAACGATAGATGTCGAAAGAAAATCGTGTTTTCGAGTTTAATTGATGAAAATAAACGGTGAGGATGAAAAAAAATTTGGAGCCATATTTCCCTTTAAAAATTCTCTTAAATTTGGCGGATTCAAGAAAAAATGGAGGAAAAGAATTAGGGGTCGTTTGGTTCGTTGGAATCGGAAGGAATTGGAATTTAATTCCATCACTTTCCTATGTTTGGTTCAAGTTTTGGGAAAGAATTGGATTCCTAAATATGTCCAACTACTCGCGACCACCTCCACCACAACCTTCGCCACCACTACCCACCACCACCACCTCCGACACTCACCCACCGACCCACCACCACCAACCATCCTCACTAATAATGTCGCCACTACCACCACCTTCTACACCACCACCCACCGCTTCCGTTACCACCATCACCATCGTTAACACCATTACTATCACCACTACCCATAACTTACCACCTACACCACAACCCTACCACTACCATAGTTACTATTAACTCTATCATCACCACCATCACCTCTATTGCCACCACCACCGTCGCCGCCACCTGCACCCACCACCACTGCCGCCGCTGCCGCCACTAACACCTACCGCCACAACCACCATTGTCTCTACGATTAATACTAGTGATGTCACTACTACCACCACCTCCACCTTCATCACCACCACACATTACCACCATCACCACCACCGTCACTCTGCCACTATCGCCGCCGCCACCACCACCGTTTACTATTTTTATAATTTATATAATATATTTTTACATATAATTATAAAAAAAGTAAAAGTAAGCAAAAACCAAAAATAGTAGTTCTGTCATTTTACACTATACAAATTCCATTTTCCGCCAACCAAACAAAATATAATATTAAATTCAAATTCCATTTACTGCTAACCAAATAGAATATTGAATTAGATTCCAATTCAAGACAGATTTCAATTCCTCAATAGATTCCAATTCCTTCAAAAATATTCTATGAACCAAACGCCGCTTTAGTTTTAGTTTTATTTTCTTTTCTCTCCTAACTACAAAAAAAATTTATTTCATTTCTTTCGAACTTGAAAACGCAGAATAAGTAAAATTTTCTTTCTCTTCCATTTCTTTATATATATATATATATATATATATATATATATATATATATATATATATATATATATATATATATATATATATATATATGGGAGAGGATCAAATGAGAACACCTAAAAGGTTGAGAACGCGAGAACAGTTCTGGACCAATCATTTTATAAGGGTATATTAGTAACTTTATATAAATATTAATTAATGATTTCCTAAAATCTAGGGATAATGATTTTAATTACCTAACAAAATTAATATTTCCTTTTAGTTAATAAAATATATATAAATATTTTTTTTTATGATTTTTCCCAAAAATTATTTATGACCGTTTCAAAAAAATTACCTAAAAAAAATTAATATTTCATTTTATTTTAAATCTGAAAAGAAATTTTTTAAAAAAATATATTATTTTCTACTATTTCACGTTTTTTTTTAAAAATGAATAGAAATCCAATCTCAAATCAATACACTTCCAATCATAAATGAAAACATATCAAATTACAAATAATTCAATTTATTTTTCATAAATTGAAAATAAAAAAGTGTAAAAATTATCAATTTTTCATAAAATGATAACCTCTAATCATAAATAAATACACTCATTCACATGAATACACTAATATTCATAAATAAATACAATCATTGACACATGAATACATTGCAATTCATAAATGAATACACCGTTATTTATAAATTAATACACATTCTATCATAAATGAATGCACGTGCTATTCATAAATGAATACAACTATTCACACATCCTTCCGATCAACGATTTCTCAGGTGGGATTCCAAGGTTCATCGGGAATCTTACATCCCTTAAAATTCTTTCCCTTGGTAAATGTGGACTCGGTGGAAGGTTTTTTGCCATATTCTCTACGGAACTTGTCGAATACACTAAGTTTTCTAAGCCTTGCTTTAAATGCTTTTTCTGGTGGCCTTCCTTCATCGATTGGTAATCTTTTTGGCCTAAGTTCTCTAGACTTGTCTAATAACAAGCTCAAAGGCACAATTAATTAGGTGAACTTTAGCAATCATTGAAGTTTACAGAAACTAGATCTTAAGAATAACTCTTTCTCAGGGAACATTTCTGGTTCTTTAGGAAATCTTTCATTATTGATTGAACTTGACCTGGGCTTAAATGAATTCAATGGAAGCATGCCATTAAGTTTGGGCAACTGCAAGAGGTTGATAAAGTTAGGCATAGATTGAAATAACCTTACTGGAGAAATACCCAGGAAACTATTTGAGCTCTCAACGCTATCCATTAGCTTGAATTTGGGTGGTAATCAATTATCGGGAGAACTTCCACAAGAGGTTGGCAACCTTAAGAACTTAAACGAAATTATTCTGGAAAATAATCGATTGTCAGGAGATCTTCCTACCACCATTAGCAGCTGTAGCAGCCTTGTGAATCTCGACATAAGCAATAACTTCTTTCAGGGAACTCTTAAATCGTCGTTGAGATCTTTGCGGGCCATTCAAACTTTTGACGCCTCGCAAAACAACTTTACAACGAAGATCCCAACTTACCTTGAAGAAATTCGCTTCATCTCCAACTTTCTCTAGGCCATCGTACCCCTAGATCTCCTCTGGACCTAACTTTTTCAGTTCCGATATGGTGTATGGTGGTGACGGCTCATTAGGGTTTAAAAGGTTTGAAATTTGAATTTAGATAGGGAGAGGAAGAAGGATACGTGAGTGAGAGAGAGAGGGGGTGACAGAGAGATATTCCAGCAACTTACAAAAATAGGTTAACATGTAATGACCATATTACCCTTTAGACTATTAAAAATTTACAATCTCATACCATGACTTTTAAAAAATTTACAATTTCATCTCATAAATTTTATAAATTATTTTAGCCTTAGATCGTAATATTTGAAGAGCTCAGATCTGTTCTCGCGTTCTCAACCTTTTTGGTGTTCTCATTTGATCCTACTCCTATATATATATATATATATATATATATATATATATATATATATATATATATATATATATATATATATATATATATATATATATATATATATATATATATATATTTTGAATTTACAAAAAAAACAGGAACAAGGCATAAAGTCGTAATATATATATATATATATATATATATATATATATATATATATATATATATATAACAAAAACTCTAGAAACTTTAAAAATACATAAAAAATTATTTTGAGATCACAAATCTTTTTTTTTAAATTTTATTTTATATTACTAAAAATCTCAATTTTCTTTATAAATTCATTGATTTTTTTTTTGAAAAAAACCAAAAAAAGGAATTTTTTTTTTTCTAGCGAATTTATAAAGAAAGTTGCAATTTTTAGTAATGTAAAGTCAATTTTTTTTATCTCAAAGTATTTTTTATGTATTTTTAAGGGTTTTTTTTTCCATAGAACACACACACACACACACACACACATATATATATATATATATATATATATATATATATATATTGTTGGATTAGGTATCTAGACCCATAACTGGTTTTGGTATGTACTTGATTTGATTATGAGCATGATCCTTTTGGGTTGCATTCACTCATGCAAGTTGATAGGATGACAAGAGGAGAGATAGTAGAATTTATTATATGAATAATAAATTAGTACTCTAAATGGTTTCATTAATATATTACAATATTAATATATTATTTGGAAATCATATTATTTAATTAGTATTGATCAGAAATTAATTTGGTGCTCAAAAGAAAATGATTAAATAATTAGGGGACTGTTATGCAAATCATTGATAGTTGCATAAATGGGCTGATGAACTCCATAAAGTGGAGTGGATGAAATCCTATAGGGAAGCCATATAGATTTCGTCCATGGACTCTAAGGAAGAAGTTCATGGGCTGCTTGTTACCTAAGTTAGGTATTAGGGTTTCCACTTGAAAACCCTAGCAGCCACAACTATATATAGAATCCCATACAAGGGGATTTTCGACCTAAGCATTCAAGAAAGAAGCCATAGCCGAAATCCTTCTCTCCTAAGTTATTCTCCTTGTATTGGGTGTTTGTGACTCCATTAGAGGTGCAAAACTTGGGGCACTAGGCTTTCAGATGTCAAGATTAAGAATGATTAAACTTGTTATTGCTACATAACAAGAGAGGTAAAGATTCTAACCCTAATCATATGTGATTTTTTATATATGTATGCTAGTCATAGGATTATTGCTTTGGTGTTCATAGTTGTATGTTCAAATTAAAAAAAAATATAGATCCAAAGCAATTAGGGTTGCATGTACACCATATAAATGATGTTATGCTCAAAACTCATCAGTGGTATCAGAGCCTAGGTGAAACATCCCAAAAATACGGTCTAAATTTTTCATTTTTAAATCATTAAACAAACCATGATTATCCAATCATTTATTTCATAAACATAAGTTGTTTTCTCAAAACATAGTATTAATTCAAAACATGCTTATTTTATCAGAGTAAAACATCCTAGGCTAAACTTCTTGGTGTGTGCGATTCAGTCATCTCAAGCTCTTCCCTCCGCTACCGAAAGTACCTGAAACCAAATACTGAAAATCGTAAGCACGAAGCTTAGTGAGTTCCACACTCTACCACATACCATACACATAATCATGTACTGGGCCCCCGTCCACTGCATTGAGACTTTCCTGGTATCAGACTTGCTCCGGCATCGGGCCCCGCCCGACATCAGGCTCCGCCTGGCATCGAGCCCCGCTCGGTATACAAATTTGTCTCTTTTAGGCCCCACCTATCTCTAGGACTCTCCTGCCATACATATACAATCATATAAACATATTAATACATAAAGAAACATACTTTACTGTACTCCTGATCTAAGGCCTCGCTTAACTTGGTCCCCACCCCTGATCTGCTACTGATGAGTTATGGAACCCTGTCCACACTCTTGCTGATAGTGAGATACGGCCCCCCGCCCACACTCACTTCTCTCCTATCACGGGTGTAACATGATGGGTTTCAACCATAAGAACTTTCCTATGTGCGCATGCAAAAACCTAATGCTTGGATCTAGGCTTTCTAATCAAACATGCTTTGAATCCAAGACTTCTAATGACTATTTAGGTGTAATAACAATGTTGAAACAGATCTAGAATCATACCTTTGAATTCCTTGTTGATCTTGTTGTCTTGGAGCTTTTAGAGTCATAATTGTCACTCCTTTAATGGCTTACAAACACCAAATAGCAAGGAGGATGATTTGAGAGAGAGGAGATGGGATGGAATTCGACCAGAGTATCCTTACTTTAGAAGATGTGTCGAATTCCTTCAACCATAGGGTCTATTTATACTTGTAGACTCCTTAAGGGTTACAGCTTAAACCCTAATTGGATAACTTAGACTTTAAGTGATCCTAATCCTTACTTTGGATAACCCTTGGACGAATTTGAGGCTATCCCAAGCCCTAGAATTCGTCCATCCTCTATCCAATAAGGATTTGCAGTCTAAAGTGTAACTATCAAACAATTGACAGTTTATACCCTCTTATTTAATTAATCTCTATAAGTCACCAAATTAACTCTAATTAATTCTATGACTTATAACAATATATTATTCTTTATATTATTCTCATAATATACTAATAATATTTACTCTCTCTTAATAAATCATCCTATCAAGTTGCTATGGTGAAGGCAACCCAAAAGGACCATGCACAATCGGGTCAAATACTTGCCTAATATAGTTGCAGCCTTAGACACTATTCCAACAGTCTCCCACTTGGATAAGTCTAGTAACTATATGCGCAGGTACATTCCGATTTGCAATCGTAGCTCTCAAAGACGCTGTCAAACTCTGATCTAATCAATCTTGTCCTTTAGATAAGGGATCGTACAGTCCTCTGTTAGATATCATGCTGACAATACTATGGAATAGTTAGTCTAGCATTTGGTTTCTCGATCTCCGATTTATTTGACATAGAACTTAATCGAACACATCAATTCAGTTCTGACCGGGCCCGACACATAAGTCAAATCAAATCATCGAGCGGCCGAGATATCGCTTTTTCCTTCTTAGGATAAAAGTTACAGATAAACTTCGACTTATATGCATTTACTTATTCATTAACCAACTACACACAACAATGCGTTTTATAACATCGAGTTACCAATGCGTTTTCGCATTATTAATGTACAATCAATTAACCAATAACAAACCATATATCTAGGTTTTAAGACTATATGATATTATCGTCTTGCGATCACCCAATTACTATCACATTCCATAAGGTGATTCCAGCAAGCGCGGGTTTGTTCCAATGCTCAAACCTAGTTCATAAGCACTCATGAACGTTGCAGCAATCTTTTGCTATGTCTAACACCATTTAGACACTCTACATACCTATTCATGACAATCTTCATTCATATCTACTTCCGACATATGAACGATTGTGGACTATTTGAACAATTCGATTATTCTTAATAAACTCAATTATTCTGGAAGTCAAAACATGCAAAGTGAAACAATAGTTAAACAATTAACATAAGACAGTAACATTACTTATAAATAAAACTCCTTTATTTAATCATCAAATGTTAATTACATTTATCTATTACACGTTTCTAATACTATCTAATCTATGCTAATATCATCCTTCAGCCCAATACTCCTAGCATGCTGCAAATGCTTAACCCTACTCAGTCCCTTCGTAAGCGGATCTGCTGGGTTATCTTCCGATGATATTCTCTTCACTACGAGTTGTCCTTTTTCTACATGATGTCTAATAAAGTGATATTTTCTGTCGATATGTCGTGATCTACCATGATCTCTCGGTTCTTTGGTCAAGGCAACCGCACCTTCATTATCACAGAAAATCTCCATAGGCTCCTTTATGGCAGGTACAACTCCAAGATCTCCAATGAAGTTCTTTAGCCATATTGCCTCCTTCGATGCTTCGCTCGCTGCGATGTACTCTGATTCGCACGTTGAATCAGCTACGATTTCTTGCTTGGAACTCTTCCAAGTTACTACTCCTCCATTAAGGGTAAAGACCCAGCCCGACTGCGAACGGTAGTTGTCCCTGTCGGTCTGAAAACTGGCGTCACTATAGCCTCACACCTTCAAGTCATCACTCCCTCCAAGGACTAAGAACCATTCCTTCATCCTCCGAAGGTACTTAAGGATATTCTTCACCGCAACCCAATGGGCTCTGCCTGAATTCCCTTGATATCTACTAACCATGCTTAAAGCAAAGGCTACATCAGGGCGAGTACAAGTCATAGCGTACATGATTGAGCCAACTGCGGAAGCGTATGGAACTCGGCTCATTTAAGCTATCTCGGCTTCGGTACTCGGACTTTGAGTCTTACTCAACTTGGCATTGCTTTGTATCGGTAATTCTCCCTTCTTCGAGTTTTCCATACTAAAACGTTTTAGTACCTTCTCTAAGTAAGTGTTCTGACTAAGTCCTATTAGTCTCTTACTTCTTTCTCTTACTATCCTTATTCCCAAAATATAGGAAGCCTCTCCGAGGTCCTTCATAGCGAAGCACTTCCCGAGCCAGGACTTAACTTCCTGCAGATTCGGGACGTCGTTTCCTATGAGTAATATGTCATCGACATAT